CCCCGCCCCGCCCCGCCCCGCTCTCTTTTCCCCAAGCCTTACCTAATCTATCGTGCGTGGTGCCATACTGGGAAGCCTCGCCGAAGCTTTTCACTGAATGAACTACGAGAATTTTTCATACCGAATGCCGCCAGTCTATTGAATCGGCCCTCCACGAACGGAATCGGAATCCAGACAATATCTGCTTGCTTGCTTGCTTGCTTTCTCGCTCTTCCAGCGCCAGCGCCATCATTTTCTTGATATCTCTCTTTGACCGCGCCGCCCGCGTGCAGCCCCCGCCAGCAAAAGATCTCATGACATCCGACGACGAAGACCAGGCGCTCAGCCGGTCAGAATTTTGGGATGAGAGATATGCCAAATCGCACGGGGAAGCGCCTACGCATGAATGGTCCGCTCCTTCAGCGACCTCGAGCCCTTCTTTGAGAAACCCTCTTTTCATCGCCAGGAGTGACTGCCGACGACCATCCGCTGATTCTGCATCTCGGATCCGGAGACAGTGTTTGTCGCCCCGATCCTCCGAGGCTTCCTGTTCTGCTGCTAAATGGCTGTGTTTGCATCTAGGAAATCCCCGTCGAATTGGCAACCCGCGGCTATCGGCGACAGGTGTGCGCCGACTTCTCTGCGGTTGTTGTTCAATTAATGACGGAGCGTCACAGCAGAGTGGAGGGGATAGAGTGGAAGCAGTTAGATGTCCGCGACATGGTGGGCATCGACGCCAAGTCCATCGATGTGGCCTTCGACAAGGGCACTCTCGATGCCATGATATTTGGCAGCCCGTGGAGCCCACCTGACCAAGTCAAAGAGAACACGGGCAAGTATCTGAGAGAGGTGCACAGAGTGCTGAAAGACGACGGGATCTTTTTGTACATCACCTTCAGGCAGCCACATTTCATACAGCCGCTGCTGAACCAGGACAAGCTGTGGAAACTTGACATGCAGAAGCTTGGGGGCGTCGGGCTTCTAGACTATTGTGCATTTGTGATAAGAAAAAAATCCGACCAAGAGGGTTGAAAGCACGAATGCCAATAGAACATACTACAATTTTGGTTAACCCAACCCTAGAGCAGAGGTAGATAGCTCTGCTCAACGCGCGATTTGCGAGGGAATTACAGCTATGCAGTGACAAACATTGATGATCACCAAGGACATTGATATGGTATTTGCGCTCTTATAAACAGACTTGGAAATGCTACAACTTAGAATACGGGAGAACTAGGAGACAAGGAACGGGCTACAAAACTCGACAACCTACCATAAGACTAGTGTAGGCACGAGGGCAAGGTCGCAAAAGGTACTACTAGTAATCAGTACAAAGAATTGTCCCACATGATCTTCTATCAGAGCCTTCGCAAAGAGTCTAAAGCTTCATAGTCGACCTCGCATAGCAATAGAGCACTTTTGGAATGGCTACAAAGTACTTGCTTCTAGGATGCTGCGTCTGGGGCAAGATTTGAACCTTCCAATCCCTAAAAAGGCCATTGAAATACTAGCAAGAGCCTATGACAAGGATTGCTTGTCTGAACCCCTGTCAGGCTTCCCATGAATGACACGAGATGCCTTACAGACATAATGACCTTGTATGTATCAGCAGGTGAGTTTCTCAGTTATAAAACGAGAAATGCTACACATAGAGTGAATCCTTATATACAGAGTGAGGAGAATTTTTTGATTGGCTAAGATTTCCTTAGCATATACACAGACCCATAGATTAATCTCATAAAATCTATCTTTTTAAATATATCTTAATAATTTGTTATTATAGCTTACTTTCATTGCTAATACTTATTCTTTATAGCTTTATATAATTATAATAAAATATAGTCTTAATTATCTAACGTTTCTTAAGAAGGTTGGTTTTAAAATTAAGATAAAGCTTTTAGATAGTAGAATAAATAATTAGTAGAAAAGTTACTATATTTATATATTAAATCCTTTCTCTTAATTAAGGTTTACCTATACTAGCAAATGTTTTTTCTTATAAATATATTTCTTATTAGCTAAAAGCTACTTAAGTTATATAACTAGTTCCTTTAAGTTATAAAACTATCTAAGTTTTAATTGAATTTAAATAGTATAAAAATAAAATATCAACTTTTATTTAATAATTAGATAGTTAGTATAGCTTTAAAAGTTAATATCCAAATTAGTAGTATATTTTTTATATAAAGCTTTACTTACCTTATAATAGCTTAAGCTATTAGTTTAGTTTATAAAAATTTAATATATAAATAGTTTAGTATATAAAAATGATAGTCTTAGTTGATAATATATATTAAAGCTTACTATTAGCAAAGATTAGTAAAAACTAAAAAGATAAAAGATTATAATTATTAGCTTAGATAGGTTAGCTTTATATAAGCTATTATATAAATATATTAGTTTATAGTTAAATATCTTTAGTTTAATAAAATAACTTATAAAACAATTATAAATTAGTTATTTTTATAAAAAGTTAGATTATATAAGTTAAGTCTTTAGCTAATAAATTATTATAGTTTAGCTAAATTATATAAATAACTTTATAAATTAATAACGTACTTATATAGCGAGCGGCATATCATAGCGAGCGACACACTTGAAAAACATATAGTTAAGGCCGATTTTAATACCTCTGTTAAAACCACCAAACCTTACTAAAAATGGATGCAACTTAATATATAGCTTATTAACTATATAAAGTTATATATATTTAAGTTTTACCTTATTAGGCTTAGTAAATGTTGAGATATAGAGAGTGAGGGTGAAAAGGTTCTTTACTTTTTTATTGTGAGTGATTGACGAGTTTAAATATGCTAAATCTCATATATATATGATTTTATATAGTTAATAAGCTATATTTTAAGTTATAGCTATTTTTGGTAATAATTAGTGGTTTTAACAAGGGTATTAAAATCAGCCTTAACTATGTGTTTTTCAAGTATGCCGCTTGCTATGATACGCCACTCGCTATGTAAGTACGTTATAAATATAAAATAGTAGCTGAATATATAAGATAACACATTTTAATAGCTAATTTCTATTACTTATAATATATATAAACTACACTTTTAGGTAAAGAAATTTACGAAATTGGCTACTGTATAGTACCTACTTTAGTCTCCACCTAAAAATTCCAAAGCCGACATTTCAGCAGTTTTTAGTGCTTATACCGTTCGTTTAGTTATAGTACTATATTCTGCTTCTTTCTTACAGTATTAAAAAAACTCAATTATCAACTTTAATATACAGCTTACCTACTACTGATTATTTTACAGTATATATATTTAGATGTTGGCAGGATGTCGCTTACTTAGTGGGACAAGTATCTCTAGGCTTTTGAGTGTTGTATCTCGGTAGGGTACATATGGTAACAAAACACACGATGCAAGCCCTAAAACCCGCCTACAATGTCTATGCCAAAATTTTGAGCCCAAAATGAGTGCTGTAGCCGATTTCGCAAGTTGCTGTTTGGAAGCGGTGGATATAATGCAGGCAGTGCCAATCACTTCCCTTCAAGTCCATGCAAATTAGAAAGCCCCAACCATTTATATTATGTAGTGCGTGGCTCTCCAGCAATGCAGCCATCCTATAACTGGAAGTCTGTTCCTCATAGGTTGGTGGTGTTGTTGCTGGAAACCTATTGTTACGCCCAGACTCTTACTCTGGTGCGTTAGGGTAAGGGTCTGTTGGTGCAGGGTTTATGTTGGCAGAAAGTTAGGTTAAGACACCGCATCACAGGTGCCATCCTCGGTGCTATCCCCACCTGGTCGTCCAGTGTTCGCCTGCCCGCAGGTCTTATGCCATTTTGTCTCGGCGCCATTGCCCCGCGGTCAACTGTCTTGGGGTCGCTTCTGGCCTCGTGGTTCGCCGCGGTGTGTGACCAACTGTGCTCACGTGCTTACAACGCTGACATGGCTTGGCAGGTTGTAACAGGTTTCCCCTCCTTTATAGTCAATGTCCTAGAGACTGTACTAGTCACGCTTGTCTTCGTCGTCGTCAAGCCAAGAGACAGTACCATCCGAATGCATATGGTAGTATTGACCAGTCTCGTGATCCTTCTTCCAGTAGCTCCTGTGTTTGCTGACAAGGGCAGAGGATCCGTGGGACGACTGTGAGGACGAAGCTTTTCGCTTGCTACCGCTGCTGTGGGTGGAACTGTGTGTAGATGAGGGAGCCTTCAACGAGTGCGGCGTCGAATGCAAGTGGTGTGAATGGTGTGAGTGGTGAGAGTGCGTCTTGCCACTCCTGTGCTTGGATAACGTAGGCGGCGTCGGCTGGTAGACAGGCTGTGGTTCGACGACTTTGTAGTCGTCTTCGTCCTTGTAAGCGTCCAGTCCGATGCCTGATATAGGCAAGGGTGGCACTTCTTTAGCGACAGGATGGAGACTGCTGCCGCGTTGCTTCTTGTAATACTCCTTCAACTCGTCTCTCAGCGCTTGTGACTGTCTCCTTGCGTGGTCCTGTTCGTTCCTGAGGTGCTTCCGGCCCTCCTTGTATTCCCCGTAGGAGTTCACCAAACTCGTCGACCTGACAGGAAACTGGTGATATTCAAGCGTGCCGTCTCCAGCGGGAGCTGCGTAGTGTGCGTAAAAGTTGAGCTGGGTACCGTTTGTGGTGAAGGTTGTGATGCTTACGTGTCTAGGGGGGTCAGACTTTCCCTGGAAGGCGAGGGCCTGGTTTCGAGCGTAGACGAGTGCTGCTCCGTCATAAGAGCTCTGTAGCGTTGCTTCTGCCATACTCCCGTCGGGGCCCTTCCATTCTCCGGCTATGTGTGGCAATGTCACCGCGTGAGGGTTATCCTTGTAGAGGACAGCCCCTAGGATGCGTTCGTCGACTGGAAACGGGAGGAAGTCCCTCATTTCTGGTCCTTCGACGAAATCCGGCTGGGGAGCGGACAGGCCATGGTTGAAGCCTACATCCTTCGGAAAGGCCGTAAATGCCTGGTTGAACGCTCGGTTATATCTCTTGTCGTTATGTTTCTTCAACAGTTCTACGGTCTCGATGACCACGGTTGCTTCGTTAGCGGCCCTGTTGACCCGGTCGACATAGTCGCCGTATTCTGACTCGGTAGGCGAGGGCGTCCCGCGGGGTAGGGCGCTTCGTTGGTAGATCTCCTCCAAGTCCTTGGGAGGCTTGGAGCTGGAGGGATCGAGGACGCCGTTCTTATACGCCTGGATAGCAAAGCCAGAGGCCATAGTCGAGACGGTCTTCGTCGATCCCGAGTCGTAGTCGTCCGAAGGGTCTGAAGTCTTCTTGCTGCCCATCTTCTTGTTGAAACGTGCGAGGTTCTGTTGTGTCAATCGTGCTGGCTCCGAAGTCGGGCGCGTCGTTCGCGCTCGCTTTGCCTGTGGTTCGGCGTCGTCGTCGTCGTCGCTGTCTAGCTGTCGTTTTCGTGACGGCGGATTTGCTTGCTCTTCTTGCGAGAGCTCCGGGCGAGTTTGCGTCTCGTCCATGATGAAGAACGAAAGAAAGGGAGGCTTCCTCTCCTGATGAGCTGGTCGACAAGCTGGTCGACAGAGTAGGCCGCTTATGTTTGGGATTTCGTTCGAGCGATGTGGTTGATTGGGCGTGGACGAGAATTGTAGGCAACAGTGAGGGCGGTTGCCACGTGATTTCGTTCGTGAGGGGTTGCTCACGTAACCGTGTAACCGTCCAATGAGATCGCGGGGCTAGCGTCGTTTATGTGGTTGGTGATACTGTGCCAGCATGTTGGCAGAAAGTCAAATGGTCAAATGGTCAAATGGTCAAGCGGCTCCCGTGGCTCCCATGTGTTCTCGTCGTCGTCGCCCTGGTCCTTCCACTTCACAAGGTACTCACTCTGTCTGCGGTCCTTCTCCGCGATGATCGAGGATCTTCTCGACCTCTTGCTCTTCTTCATCTTCATCTTCGTCCTCGAGCTCTGCTCTGTGGTCTCGTCGAGCTTTGCCCGTGGTGAGGCTGGTTCCGGTTCCAAAAGTGAGATGTGGAAAATCGGGTGGATCTGCATTGACCGTGGTAGTGACAGTTCGTAGTTGGTGTCCGAGATCTTTCGCCTGATCTTGAATGGCCCAAGTTGCTTGTAGTCGAGTTTCTCGCTTGGTCGCTTCGACTTGATGTTTTTGCGAGCGAGATAGAGCATCAAGACGTCAGGGGTCAGGGGTCAGGGGTCAGGGGTCAGGACGTCACGAAGGCGACCTCCCTTGCCACAATAGCGGTTAAGTCCCCGCTGGTCCACAGATTTCAGCGGTCCACAAAAAACCTAGTTGCCGATGGTCTAGACTAGTCGTTCGCTGCAAGCTAAATTTGGTGCCCAAAGGGAGTGGCATAATGATGACGAGGAGAGGCTAACCCGCAAATTCACAACCCTGGTTCTGTAGATTGCTCCTAGCTTCTATAAATATTTGGCTAGATTACCTTGATAATACAGTACCCATGATCTTCCTCTATATATTATAGTTGCAGTGTTTGGCTTTGTGGGCAAATGTCTACCTGTTCTTGTATATGAATCATTGTAAGATGATGGGTAACTTTGATACGAGCAAGGAGATTGGAGAGGCGCAGAACGCAACCGCGCGGCGATGAGCCATGAAGGTTAGCAGCATCTGGCCTCGAATTCATTCAATGCCTTGCCAATAGCCAAGTTCGTATTACTTTGCTTTCCTGTCCTATGCCATGCACGGTACGCGGAAAAGCGTCGTTTGTTTCTGTTTGGCGTAAGCAAGATAACATAAGACACGGAGTTCTATCAGTTGGCAGATCAAACAGCGATCGGGAGCCCTCTTGGATCGAAGGAGATGAGAGCCTAGATCAGGACGCACAGCCATTCATTCCTTACCGACTGACCGTGACACAAATGCTGCCGGTGCCGGTGCCGTTGCCGTTGCCGTCGCCGTCAGGTAGTCGCGTTGCGCGGGGATCTATAGCCAGCGGTGTGATTCGGACGATGCTCCCGATGTCTCCCTCTTCTCGCCCTGCCTTAGTCTGTCGTCATCATCCATGATTCTGTTTGATTTGGTCGGGGGTGAAAGGTGAGGCGGCGAAACAAAAACATGGTTTGTTTTAGAGAAGAATGTAGAAAGGAAATAGCGGTAAGCATCCATCCGTTTGGGTTTGTGTGTCTGAGTCTCTTTACAATAGTATCTTATATTATCTGAAACAGTAGGTTGTTGAATCCAATGGACGATGATAGGAAGGCAAGTTCCCGCGAACTCCATAATGATGAATGGAGGTGGAGGTTTTGTCTGGTTGGTGCCTACAGGTGGTCTGTTCGGAGATTATGATTATGATCTGGGCCGGTTTGGTTTGGTGGATGAAAGGATGGAAATGGAGTAATGTAATGTAATTATTTTCCTGTATCACCTTGCCTTGCCTGGTCTTTGGAGAATTCGGTCGGTAAATCTGGAAAACCTTGGAAATGGAACGCGACATCTACATCCAACCTGGAATAACTTATCGTCTTTCCCCCCCTGCCCTTTCTTCCCTTCCTCACCCTTTCCGCCGTTTGATTCTATCCCATCATTAGTCATTAGTATCAGACCCATTCTGCCCCGTGTTGTAGGACGACAGAAACCTCTTCCTACTCAGCTCTGTTTTTCTTACCGACATCATTCACCTCATTCCATCCATCCTCTTCGTCAACAAGAGACACACACCCGCGATTTTTATTGAAGCTCGTTCACCAAACACCAAACCCACCCAACATGAATACCTCAATCGCAGCGCAGAAGCAGACCAGCAGCTCAGCCGGCCCCAGCACGGGCGACATCCCCTCCTCATCCAGTGCCGGCAGCAACGTCTCTCGACAGAGCATCGGCAGTCTCCTCGAGAAGCAGGGACGCGCCCGCTGTACCGTCTATACCACTAGCAGGGGCGACTGGTTCATCACTGCCGACGACGCCGACCTCGTGTCCACCTCCTTCTCCATCACCCTCCAGCCCCTCGGCGACCTCGGCCTGCCCACGCCCGAGGTCTTCATCCACCGCCTGCAGGGCCTGTGTGTCCTCAACGATCGCCTGACCGGCCTGTCGCGCGAGCTGCTCAACCTCCACGGCCCAGACAGCGAGGGATTCGTCCTGCCGCTCTTCCGCCAGCGCGGACCCAGGGGCCTCGAGTACGGCGTCCTGGTGGGCCGGCAGCACCGCGCCGCCGACGACTGGGGGGAGGGCGACCTGCCCTCTGGGTACGCCGCCCCGCTCGCCGTCTCGCGCAGCGACTACTGTCTCGACCGCATCGACCAGGTCCTCTACCCGGAAAACACCGTCGTCACAGACCCCTTCCCACACAGGCCCGTCGTCGAGCACCAGCACCAGCACCAGGACGATCACGCCGGTACAGATACATCTCCCGCCTCCAAGCTCACATCCTCCTCGCCCCCCCGGCGCTCCAGCACCAGCACCAGCACCAGCACCAGCGGCCCACCACTGCTCAACTGGCCGCGCTTCGTCCTCCAGGTCGGCCGCCTCTGTGTCGCTAACCCCTCAGACGCGTCGTCCCACCGCGCACCTGCGAAGTCGTCCTACGTCGTGGTCATGGACATCGTCAGCCCGCACAAGCCCGTCTGGATCATCCACGACGCCTTCACCCGCGACGCCGACGGGCTCGTGCCCCGGGAGGCGCAGCGCCACCGCAGCGGCGTCGCCTTCGCCACCGCGCCGGCCTACTTCGACATGGCGCCTCTGCTGGGCAGTGTGCAGGACTGGGGGAAGCTGAAGGATGAGGAGGAGGAGGAGGAGGAGGAGAGGGACGGCAGCCGGGAGAGCGAGGGCGAGGGCGGTGGAATGGAGGCCAGGGTGGCGGCGCGGGGCGCCAGGGTCGAGCCGCTGCTGTCGCTGGCTTGGAGCGGGAGGCTTCTCGAGGCCGCCAAGAAGGCAGGGGCCAGCGCTGTCTAAGAATGTTTGAAGCGGATGATGGTGTTGGCCGCTCGCTCGCTCGCTCGCTCGATAACACGAGGCTCGGTATCGGGTTGGGTATCGAAGTCAAGACAGCACTCTCCTTGTCCGTCTACCTACACATGTACGGATTTTACGTGTGATCAAAGACAGGCCACCTGAGATAGAAGCGTAGAAATAAGTTCACTCATTCATCAATGATGCATCGTGTAATATAATGCGCACATGATATCATACAATCTTTCTCGCTCAAGCAAGCACTGGTTTCCATCTATAGTTTTTGCCTGTCTTCAAAGAGTATAGGGAATGGTTCCATCACCCAAGACAAAGTCGAAGCAATGGCGAAGCAAATACTTTCTGAGCCTCGAGATTCAAACGACTGCCATAATTCCATCCAAGGCGCCTGGAGGAACGAAGCTAGGATTTGGTAGGTTAAGCGTTGGAACTATTCACATCACATGGCCAAAACATATTGTTAGGGAGACGTTTGAAAGTTGCGGTAAAGCAGCCATCGTGGTGTCAGCAAGACACATCGCCTTGGAACTCGTATCAAATCAAAGACAAGCCAGAATCCCGGACAGCATACCAAAACGGGTCCGATGACCGCATTCTCCCGACTCGCTCATAATACTTAACGCCTCCCATATTCAGCATTCTGAGCAGCAGGCCGCAATGCCAGTCTGCGCCACCAAGGGTATCACATTGGACACCCAGCGCGTAAAACACCGACTCGCCGCCTCTTGTGCCATCAAATTGGCAACTATTCTCAAATTTCGCGCCGGCAGGGCGAGGGCCAACTGCCGCTTCGAGCCTGAAAGCGTAGGTAGGAAACTCGACTCGTGGATCCTTCAGCTTCCGATCACTCCGGCATGGCGGCGAAGGCGACTGCTTATCGAGGTCCACGGTGCATCGATGGACCCTGCCCAGCAGACGCAAAGCTGTCCTCCCAGTTTTATGAATGTCCGTGCCATGTAGCTCCACCCGCGATGATCCTGGATCGTGTCCGCCGGCATTAATTGGGCCAACCACTGATACCCATGACCAAGAAGGGACGCAGGCAATGTCCGAGAGATTCGCTGGGTGTTTTGTGGGCTGCCAGAGAAGGCCCGCAGAGAGATTGGCTTCCCATATCCCCGAGAGATACTGGCCAGGAACTATCCAGCTTGCAATGTCGGCAATCCCTGCAAGAGCGGGCAGTCTATCGCTCTCATGTGTCAGCTGCAGCGCAGAGTACTCTTGTATCAAGTCGGCCCATGCCCTAAAGAACAGTCCTTGGAACAAGTCTTTCTGCTTTCCGGTCAGCCCTAAAGATATACCAAAGCTTCTGAGACAGTGTATGAAAGCGGCAGCCTCCATCCCACCATCGGTGTCCTCCTGACTATCTTCCGAGTGTCTGCTCATTCGACAGGTCCAGTATATTTGGTTGGAAGAAAAATCTACCATGCGGCGAGAGAGAATCCGTTCTTGCTTAACCCACGCTCTCTGACGTAGTGGACTGCCCTCTACGTCTTCCCGGAAGGAGCTGGCAATCTCCGTACATCCTCTGAAGAAGACCCTTCCCTCACGTCGACCGTTCTTACTGACCTTGAAGTCGATTGGGATCCCGGAGCGGTTTCGGTGAGCAAGAAATCCTTGGGAAGCCCTACTAGCTGAGGTTGCAGCGATGGTTAGATATGCGTTGTTATATATATAGCCCATCCTGTTTAACTCTTCCATCCAGTCCGCAGTCTGATTCTGACCTTGAATGATGCATAGCGCATCTACCCAAAGATACTTGATTCCGAGCTTCCGGACTACCGTGACGGCATCCTGGATTGTCTGAGAGAGTAGTGCCAACGGCACGCCCTGCTTCATGTGGCTGACGGTCTTATTAGTAGTGATATAGCCGGTTTGTATTGTTCCCCAACAGTAGCTGAGAGCCGCGTACTTCAGCGGCTGGCTATTCGTCTCTATGAGCCTAACAATGGGCTGCCCAGGCAAGCCGACGTCTATCAGCCGCCTTGGAGCCATTGTGTCTCCACTATTGGACCCGAGAAAGTTCTCGTTGCAGGCGCTGTGATGCTGTTCGCAGTTCCTGGCCCAGCTGAGGATTCTCGATATGTTGAAATCGCAGATCGGTTCATCCTGGATTCCCCGCACCGAGGTTGGGAGTCCAACAACGCCCATTGACTCTGCAACCGAGCCTATTGTTCGTCAGCGACGGCCGTGACTTTTACTGGCGCGTGGAGTCGCTATACCTGGTTCGGCGAACATGAGCAAAGTTGGATATTCCGGCCCGTAGCCGAGCTCAGTGCCGACCATGCCTAACGTCACCGCGACTCTCTGCGACAACAGCTTATCTTTGACGCGGCTCCGTTCTCGTCGCTGGAAGATGTGCAGTTTCAAGTCAAGCTCATGGCTGGCTGCAAAGAGCCTTACGGGCCCGAGGTGCCAAGCATCAGACATGTTTCTGATCGAACTTGTCGCCAAGCGATGCTCGTAGATGCATCGTTTGAAGAGGCCAGCGATTAACTGGCAGAGATCGCATGCATCTGCACTGCTAATCAAGGCATCGCAGGTCGGCTGGTGGACGTATCCGTCATTACTCTTCATATCCTCCAAGTTGATGCCTTGACAGAAGACGCACAACCGGTGTCGCGAGTTATCAGGCTCCATCGTGATGAAACCTGAATTCCCGGCTGGGGAGGCTAGATCTGGCGCGATTCCAAAGCAAGTATTGGAGCGTGTGGCGCTGGAACTGCGCGGGACGCGCTCAATAATGGTCAACGATGAAGCGGCACCAAGCCAGTGCGACCTTGCACGCTGTACGTACAGCCGTCGCGATGTCGGATACCAGTCAACCCACGATCTCCGGTATCAACTATATTAAATACAGTACCGCAGCCAAGTAACTTGCTTGGGGCGATGCAGATGCGGTTGTCGTGAGACAATCCGTAAGGCAACCGTAAGGCGACCTCGCAGAAAATGCTTGCCTACACATCACATCTTTGTGGCCAATGAGACCCTGCGTATGTAGGTCACGCAGCGACCTCAGAATGAGAGACCGCATAGAACAGAACAGCGATACTGATACAGGTGACGATACCAGGGAGTCAGTGGTCCCTGTTTCAGACCAGGGCATCGCAAGGACCCCGTGTCAACTGGTTCGTAAACAGGAGATGGCGCTAAGCGACTACGGAGGCCGATAGGGGCGACTGGCTCTTTTCAACTTTTCGGCCAACCGGATCTCATTCTACCTTCCGGCCAAAATTCAGCTATACTTCACTATCAAATACTAGACTATTATACTTTCTTAATTGACTCTATTTCAACTAAGATAAAGCCGCTAATTTGCTACTGGTAAGTATAATCGCTTTAAGAATAAATTATATAAATATATACTTATATATAGTTAGTAGTTTATAGATATAAAGACAGTAAATAAAGTAGTATATCCCTCTGACTCTAGAAGACTAGGACGGGCACGATAAGGATATTACCTTATATACTCAGAAGAAGCTAAATGTCGATAAAAGCATTACTATGATGAAGATCAAGGAAGTGCTTTAAGTAAAGATATCTAGAGTATTCCTCTGGGTTTTTCTTGTGGTAGGGATTCTTAATAAAGAGTCCCAAAGGGGTAAAATCCAGACGCTTCGGTAAAGACTTGTCGATATACCTGCTGATCTATACAGTCTGTTCCGCCGTATTCTTTTGCGAGATGGCGAAGATAGAAGTAACCTCATTCTATGTATCCAGTGGGTGTTGTTTGCGAGACAGCCTCTGATACCAGAGCAACTCTACTTCGCGATCCAGTCTGGCCTAGTACCTGCTCAGTTATCAAGTTGGGATCCTGATGAGATACTGTTAGATGTCAAAATTGAAGATCGACATCCCCAGATCAGATCTAACTTGGAAGGCTTACTTTGATTAGATATCCCGACGGCCGCTGAAGACAGAACCGTACTCTATTGCACTCCATTTGCATTTTCATTTCTATTTCGAGATTAATCATTATAGATACAAATCCCTTTATTTATTAAAAATCTAGCTACCTTAGATATCATGATACGCGTCACGTTGACAGTGGTATTTAATCCAGTCTTGATCAAAAATGCCCAGAAGCCTTGCTGGAAAGCAAGAGAAAGCCCTGATCCCCTGAAGGGCTGATTGGAGACATCAACCTATCTGCTGACGTGCTGGCTCCATGGTACACGTTGCGAGATGCGTCTCCCCGAGCTCAGTCTGCCTTGCCAGTAGTCGCTGAGGCGAAACTAAGGGGAATATGTATCTGTGTGGTATACTGGAGCTGCATGAAGTTGATGAATAGATGAAGATATGGAGAGTCCAATATGTATAAGGGCCTATATTCTCTTCAATATCAGCATGGTTAGCACGAGCGCTTCCTGCCTATCTGCCGTGTCTCGGTCAAAAGGAGCACGTCCTGTAGCTTACCTTATAGATAGGCTTATGGAGGTGTTTAGATATAAGGATATAGTACTGTACTTCCCCCGTCAGTGAAATGACAAATATAAATAGTATCCCAGGGCTCACAATCTTTTTAGTCTCTTCTTCTTGTAATCACAATTCTCTCTCACCCATGCTCCCAGCTCAAATTATCACAATATGGATGCGAACTTGTCGCAGACTTTAAGGGAATCGTCCTTGGCTTCGAGTACTTCGACCTCCTCAGCGGCCTCGACTATCTCGACTATCTCG